CAATGTTATAGTTTAATATCTACCAAGTGTTGTCACTACTCAGTGAGACAAAATAATTCACCTGAGAAGTAGTGTTGGAGCATTTGGTTACACATGGTGGGAGGGAGGCTGGCAGCTGGTGATAGTCTTTATCTTCTCATGATGCCAGCTCTCTATGCATATTGATTACAGAATTAAATGTTAGAAGTCAACCTTCAGATTAATACATGTTAAAAAATTAACCTTTAAAAGGTAACAGCTTTCCATTGTAAAGGGCAGTAGAAGAAATCCTTGGGAAAAGCATGCCACTGTTGGCATTTTAGCACAGTTTTTTGTTGTAAGGAGGGGCTGTCTTGTGCCTCCTCAGATGTTTCAGTGTGCCTGCCTCCAACCCACCAGTTGCCTGCAGCATGGCCTCCTCTCCCAGCTATGAAAACCAAATATACATTCTAGACTCATCAAGTTCTCAGGAAGGTCTTTGGGAATTAAGCCTGAGCGCTCTGAATCTGTTAATCAAATTGAGAAGAACTGATATCTTGAAAATACTTATTCTTCCAAACTGGACATAGTTTATCTTTCTATCCATTTAGATTTTCTTCAATTTGTCCTAGAAATGTATTTAGAATAACTTCTAGGTTAAAAATTTTATGCTATATAAATTGGTAGGTTTATTAAGAAAATCATTTAAAAAATATTGACTAGTAAATAGAAATATAACTGATTTTTATCAATAGAACCTATATTCCATGATCTCATTTGATTCGTTTATTTATTTTTAATAGATTTGAGTTTTCTACATAAACAAACATGTCTTCTTTAAATAATGACAGTTTTCTTTTTCATGTTTGTTTCTATTTACTTTTATTGCTTTTTGCATTGCCTAGAACTTCCTGTACAATTACAAGTGAAGGTGGTGAGAATAAGTATTTCTGTTTTATTTTCAATATTTGCAGTGAAGAAAAGTGCTAGCAACAGGTCTGTGAAGATTGCCTTTCTTTTTTTCTTTCTTTCTTTTTTTTTTTCTTAAGATGCAGTCTTGCTCTGTTGCTGAGGCTGGAGTGCAGTGACATCTCAGATCACTGCAAACTCTGCCTCCCAGGTTCAAGTGATTCTCCTGCCTCGGCCACCTGAGTAGCTGGGATTACAGGCATGCACCACCACACCTGACTAATTTTTTGTATTTTTAGTGGAGATGGGGTTTCACCATTTTGGTCAGGCTGGTCTCCCAACTCCTGATCTCATGATCTGCCCACCTTGTCCAAGTCCTGGGATTACAGGCCTAAGCCACCGAGCCTTGCCTAAGATTCCCTTTTCTAGATGAAGTTGGTTGCTAAGATGTCATCATCAATGGGTGTTAAATTCTGCCAAAAGCTTTTTCTACACATATTGAGATAATATTTTTTTACTCCTTTACTCTGTTAACATGTGAATTACAGTGATTAACTTTGAATGCAAAATAAACTTTATATTTCTTGGTTAACACCCATCTGCTCATGAGGTACTATCATTCTACAGAGAGCTTAATTCAATCTGTTAATGATTTTCAAAGAATTGTTGTTTCTATATTTGTGAATTTTCTTTTAAGTTTTTACCCAGCTTTAGTATTAAGATTATCTTGGTCTCGTAAAACAAGTTGGGTGGTAATACATTTTCTGAATAATTTAGATTAGAAATTACAGGATTTCTTTGCAAAACAAATTTTCCAAACTGCTTTCAACCATCCCATTGATGTCTTACATAACCCAGAAACTTTTGGTAATACGTAAACAAAGAATGCTTTTTTCAGTATCCATTTTCCTTGAACATTGTATGACTAATTCACTTGGATACACTTTCTACCTTTCTCTTTATATCAGCCTTGTGAAAAGGCTGGTAATGATTCGCTTATACCAGCAGAAACTAAAGTAGAAAGATTTGAAGTGACTAGATAGGCATTATCAAAAGACTCCACCAAGAAGAAACAAAAAGATCCAGAGACTGGAAATTTGATATGGCATAATTTGGTCAGAGAATAAATATATGTTACTGGAATCCAGGTTAAATTTTAGAAACAGAAGAAAATTATGGCCACTCTACCCCATAATCTGGAAGAGTGGTGACAAGGATTCAACAGAAAAGAAGTCATCAATCTGGGCAGGGAGGAGGAATCAGACCCAAACAATCTACCTGTAGATGAAGCACCCATGTCCTCTTGCACCCCAGAATAACTCTCCAGACGCTGGATGATCCAACTTGATCCTGAAGTGCAAAGAGGAGCTGAAGAGAATGAAACGAAAAACCGAGTTCATTCAGTCCCATGGGAATCCACAGCGAACTCTCTTACCGCGATTCAACCGCTTTTCAGGCGCAGGAGTCAGAAGATTCAGCAGTAAGGCAGATGGGGAAGATGAACACTCTAGCCAATCTCCTTAACAAAACCGTAGTGAGAACAAGAGCTCTGTTCTGTTACTGAGATCAGATATAGATATACATAGATAGATTGATTGATTCTAGTATGAACATCAACTGAGCTAGTGCAATCTGCATACCTAACCACAAGGAACAGGCTGACCATATTTCCAAACTAATAAAGCAAGTGTAGACAGTCATATTTCCAGGTATACGTTCTTTATATGATTTGGCTTATGGCTACCCAAATCTCATCTTGAATTATAGCTCCCATAATTCCCATATGTGTGGGAGGGACCAGGTGGAGACAATTGAATCAAGGGGCGGTCTCCCCCACACTGTTGTCCTGGTAGAAAATAAGCCTCCGGAGACCTGACGGTTTTATTAGGGGAAACCCCTTTCGGTTTTTTTTTTTTTTTTTTTTTTTTTCCTTTTCCTCTTGGCTGCTGCCATGAGAGATGTGCGTTTTGCCTTCCACCATGATTGTGAAGCCTCCCGGCCACGTGGAACTGTGAGTTCATTAAACCTTTTTCTTTTGTAAATTGTACAGTCTCCGGTGTGTGTATATCAGCAGTGTGAACACGGACTAATACAGTTCTTATGTGAAAATAAGCATATGCATTTTTATTCCAAAGCATTAGGGTCTTTAATGGGCCTCAGGGATAACCTGCCATTAATTTTACTAAACACTGGATGTCACTGTTGCCATTTTATAATAAAAAATAATTTATGGGAAAAAGAGTTCCTAATCGATATTCTCAAAATAGCTATAGAAATTAATTTATATTTTACATTTATCACTAAAAGATGTAACCTCTTCAGAGTGGCTGGTTTCTTCATAGAATTTTTGTTTTTAAGGACAAAACCACTGCATGCCACGTTTTCTGGGCACTATCTGTAGCTTATTTGCACATAAATCTGTTCTGAACTCCCCATTTGGCCACAAGAAGCCCACGTAACTTTGTAAAGCTCACAGTGAAGGGGCAAGTTGCTTTAAGTGAAATCAGAAATCCTGCTCTTTTCTTGGTCGGGCACAAATTAACCCTTCCAGTTATTGTCAGCGTCCAAAATGATGCCTCGGAGACGCAGAGGGCTATGACCCGGCCGAGCCCAGCTCCAAAGGCCTGGACCCAGGCAGGGCCCGCGGAGGACTAGGCACGGCCAGAGGAGCCAAACGGAAGGAAGGCCCCGGGAGGGCTCAGACCACTCACCTGCCGCAGGTCGCTGTCCCCTGTCCGCCAGCCACCAGTCAACGTGCCCGTCAGCGACTCCCTCAGGCGCAGCTGTCTGGGCAGCCCAGCGGGGGCGGGGGTCTCCCTCAGGCCCCCAGCGGGGGTCAGGGGGCTACTTCAGGCGCAGCTGTCTCCTCAGGCACAGCTGTCCCCGCAGTCCAGCGGGGGTGAGGGTCTCCCTCAGGCCCCCAGCGGGGGGGTGGGGGTCTCCCTCAGGCCCCCAGCAGGGGTCGGGGGGCTACTTCAGGCGCAGCTGTCTCCTCAGGCACAGCTGTCCCCGCAGTCCCCCAGCGGGCGGGCTCCCTCAGGCCCCCAGCGGGGGGCGGGGGGCTACTTCAGGCGCAGCTGTCTCCTCAGGCACAGCTGTCCCCGCAGTCCCCCAGCGGGCGGGCTCCCTCAGGCCCCCAGCGGGGGGCGGGGGGCTACTTCAGGCGCAGCTGTCTCCTCAGGCACAGCTGTCCCCGCAGCCCAGCGGGGCGCGCCGGAGACCAGCATGACGTGGGCACGCAACACGGGGTGGGGCCTGCCGAGGACACGCCCTTGCGGGAGGTCGGAAGCGCAGCGTGAGGCTCCAGGTCCCTGGAGGCTGCAGACTCGGGCTCTGCTCAGCGCGGGAAAGCTGCTAGCTGATCTGGCCAAGGGCTTGGGCCTCCACTCTGTAGTCTACAGTGGCCTGGAGAACATCAAGAAGCTGACGGCCGGGAGATTCACCGCTGCGCACTTTGACCACAAAGGGGAGTTGCAGGAATATTTCCAGGACATCGGTGTTCCCATGACCAGTGTGCAGATGCCCTGCTATTTCGAGAACATCCTCTCCCACTTCTTGCCCCAGAAAGCCCCAGACGGAAAGAGCTACTTGCTAAGCTTGCCCGCAGGTGACGCTCCCATGGGTGGCATGTCCGTGTCCGACCTGGGTCCCATGGTGCTCAGCCTGCTGAAGATAGCAGAAAAACACGTCGGCCAAAACATCAGGCTGAGCACTTGTAGACACACGGGCGAGGAGCATGCTACCCTGCTCACCAAGCACACCCGCAAGGTCATGGACGACACAAGATGACTCCTGAGGACTCCGAAAAGCTTGGCTTCCCCGGGGCCCGGGACCTGGCGAACATGTTCCGTTTCTATGCCCTGAGTCCTGACTCTGACATCGAGATGACCCTGAGACTCAACCCAAGGCCCTAACGCTGGACCGGTGGCTGGAACATCACAAAGGGGAATTCGCCCTGCTGTGACCTCCTGCCTTTCAGCCTTTGTGGGCGTTGCGGGGGTACCAGAAGGGCAGAGGCACTATCATCCTTTCCTACGTTACCAATAAACTTACTGAATAAAGCCAATTTTCTCCCTCCTCCCCCAAAAAAAGAACCCCACCCGCAGCCTAGATGTGGTGCTGCACTGGGCCAGATGGGCATTGCCTGCTTCTCCATCGTGGCCACGCACCCACATGAGTGTCTCAACCATCTCATCCTGGTCTACTCGCTGCTGCTCATCCTGCAGCACATCACCCAGAACCTCATCATCATCGAGGGTCTGCACCGACACCCACTCTGGGAGGCAGTTCCTGAGGGCCTGACAGAGAAGCAGGAGGCTGAGCCTCCCCGCAGGGGCTCCCTGCTGGAGCTGGGCTGAGGCCTGCAGCAGGACTCGCTGGCCTACATCCACTACTACAGCCACCTCAACTGGAAGTGGTGGGCACTCAAGGATATCTCACTCTTCCTCATCGTCTGCAATATCACACTGCGGATGATGCCCGAATTTGGCATACACCCAGAGTTTAGAACAGGCTAGAAAAGGATTTCTATGGCTACCAGATGTGGTTTGCCATCGTCAACTTCGGCCTGCCTCTGGGGGTCTTCTACCGCCTGCACTCTGGGAGGCCTGCTTAAGGTCTACCTGGTGGCCTGAGGCTGCCCCCCCCCCCCCCCCGGCAGAACCCTGAAGTGCCGAGTGGGGGAAGATGGTGGCCCAGAGTCTCTAAGCACATGCCTCATTCTGAGAGGTGCCGAGACGTCCCACTCCCAAGGCCTCCCACTCCCCAGAGCTTCACTGAATGGGAGGGCAGGGGCCTGGGCACCGAGTTTCTGATACTCACGCCCAGGCCTGGGCACATGCCTGCCCCCTGCCTTCCCACTACAATCAGCGAGCCAAGCGTGCACCCCAGGAGGCTGGCAGGGGCCCCCTCACGGCTACTCTCTGGGAAGGCAGACCTACAAGACAGAGTCTGGGGAGTTTGGCAAGGGGTGCCTCTCTCCAGCCGGGCCTCAGGGGTCTATCTCCTACTTCGAGAAGAGCACCTGGTCCTAGTGTGGCTCTGGACATCCTCAGAGCTCAGAGTTCCGAGCTGGGAGGCCAGCTTCTTTCCCCACACAGCCTATCTCCTAATGAGCTCATTAATTAGCTTCCAGGCAAGGTTCAACAGCTCTCTTCTGCTGCATAAATTCTATTTGTTTGATGGTAAAAAAAAAAAAAGCTCTTTCCAGCCAGAGCGGAGCGATGGGCATCTCTCATCTCTAGGGACAACTAGCACAAGTGTGGCAAGCCTGGGGGCAAGAGAAAGCCCTACCACAAGAAACAGAAGTATGAGTTGGGGCACCTGGCTGCCAACACCAAGACTGGCCCCCGCCACATCCACACAGTCTGTGTGTGGTGTGGTAACAAGAAATACTGTGCCCTGAGACTGGACGTGGGGAATTTCTCCTGGGGCTCAGACTGTTGTACTCGGAAAACAAGAATTATTGATGTTGTCTATAATGCGTCTAATAACGAGCCGGTCGGTACCAAAACCTTGGTGAAGAATTGCATCGTGCTCATCGACAGCACACCGTACCAACAGTGGTACAAGTCCCACTATGCACTGCCCCTGGGCAGCAAGAAGGGAGCCAAGCTGACTCCTGAGGAAGAAGAGATTTTAAACAAAAAATGATCTAAAAATTTCAGAAGAAATACGACAAAAGGAAAAAGAATGCCAAAATCAGTCTCCTGGAGGAGCAGTTCCAGCAGGAAAAGCGTCTTGCGAGCATCGCTTCAAGGCGGGGACATTGTGGCTGAGCAGATGGCTATGTGCTAGAGGGCAAAGAGTTGGAGTTCTATCTTAGGAAAATCAAGGTTCGGAAAGGCAAAAAAATCCTTGTTTTCTGTCTTCACCCATGTAATAAAGGTGTTTATTGTTCTGTTCACCAAAAAAAAAAAAAAAACGCTTTTTTGTTTGTTTGTTTTTTTGTTTTAGTTCAATCTGGTTTCACTGAAAACTTGCATGGAGACTATAGGGTAAGAAGGTAGAAAAATGAAACAAAAGCAAAAACCAGGGTCTTGGCAAACAAAAATGCTTTGGACAGAGGTGACTCGTATCACATGATTCCAAGCAATTCCATTCTCCACTGCAGCCTGCAAATGACATTTGTGCTCCAAGCGAACCTTTTCTGTGGTTTACCACCACTCCCTGAATCTTGAGCTTCATGTGGTCCTCTCTGGTCATTTTCCCATCTTGCCTCTTTTTCCAGCAATATCCATCTTTCCTGTACTTCACTTTTTTCCTGTAGTAGAGTATCACTGAGCCATTCTGTGGTCTTGTCTTAGGGGAGGTGGTTAGCCATTCTTCGTGTTTCTCAAATGTTATTAAATAAAGTGCAATTTCCTTGTTAGTGTTCCAACGGTGCCTCTCTTTTGGTAAATCTGAACATTTCGACAGACATTCAAGCAGCTTTTTCGGTAAAAAGATTTTTACATGACTACCATTGCTGTTCCTATGATCATCTGCAGGCTTGTTTTGGCAGCCATGTCCCCTCCAACCGCCACATCCTCCTCCTCCTGGCAACCCGGACCCTGAGCACTCATCTCCTACCGCCGCTGGCCCAGCCAGCCTCTGTCCCCTGGGCGCAACTCTGTAATGAGTGAGTGAGAGCTCAGTGCTTGTCAGTTTATATCAGCTGAAAAAAACGCATTTGAGTCTTATTACTAGAGTGATAGAAGCCAGCAGACCATCATGCATGAAACTCAAATTGCCTTCTTAGATTTGGAGTTGTCGTTGTTGTAGTAACTTCTCGTCTAGAATCGAACTGTGGAAATGCGTCGGTGCTTGGCTATTGTTGCTGTGTTTGTTGATTAGTCAAGGATAGTCACATTGTAATCCATGAGGTAGACTGCAATGAGATGTTTAACATACAGTTTTCACAAAAAGCAATTTTTCTAACCAAATTTGGTTTAAACAAAAGTCCATTTTAATAGGTATAACCTTGTTAGTGTTTATTATATGAACTACCAACTTTTGAAGGATGCCACAATGTGCATTTAATGAAAACTATTATCACATAATAGTTAATCATTGTTTGATAACTTAGAAAACATTTCAATGTCTTTTAGGATTTGAGGTTTCTACAACCAGCATCACTGATGATAACAGAGGCACACTCCTTCACATACAACTGGCTTTTCTTTCTCTTTTCTGAGGTGCTAAGTGTTTGCCACCAACAGTGTATCTAAGACATAATGTCTGGCTAGTCTTTTGCTATCAGAAAGGTAAGATGTTTGCAGAAATGGTGACAACACAGAACTATGCATTGGTGAAGACATTTCATACCAAGTTTCTTTAAATATTTTAAATCAAAACATACCATTTTAAAAGATATAATTGGTTAATCTTCAACAAGGTGGCTTTCATCCCAGCTTTAATGGATAATAGATAAAGCTTCACAAAGCAGAAAAAATAAATTGTGAACAAAAAATTAGGGATAAGAAATTACAAGTTGTGCCAGGCTTTCATAATTGATTTTGTCTCAGGCATTAAGCACAATTAGAAAATCACAAAGACAAAAATAAAAATGGAAACAGGAAACTTGGAGGTATTCTGTGGAACAGGTTGAGATCTGGACAGTACTGGAACATTCTCCTTTTTTTTTTTGAAATGGAGTCTTACCCTGTCACCCAGGCTGGAGTGCAATGGCACCATCTCAGCTCATTGCAACCTCCCACACCCAGGGTCAAGCAACTCTCCTGCCTCAGCCTCCTGAGTAGCTGGGATTACAGGTGTGCACCACCACACCTGGCTAATTTTTTGTATCTTTAGTAGTGACAGAGTTTCACCATGCTGTCCAGGCTGGTCTCCAACTCCTGAGCTCGTGATCTGCCAACCTTGGCCTCCTAAAGTGCTGGGATTACAGGCGAGAGCCACCACTACTTTTTAAAATTAGTATTGTTGTTTCTGTATTTCTCTTACAATAGGTATATAAATGAGTAACAAAAATGTTCAGCATTCTTTTATAAATGTATGCAAGGCTAAAAACGCACCTTTCCATTTCTGGAAGTGAATTACAAATTTTTTCTTGCCAAAATTTGAAAACAATCTTCTGTGATATCTGATAAGTATAAGATGGTGGCTGATATGAGATTCCAACTATCTAATATGCTTATTTTTTATCATCAGCAGTTACTATTTAGCATACTATGTATGTCTCCAGAATTTAAAATAGAAGTGGTATCTCACGGTAAAGAAACAATAATTTCATTTGGGCTCACAAATAAATAAAAATCAGATTAAAATAAATATGTCCATCTGTGAAAAATAAGCCACACAGGTCTGTTCATTAAGGAAAATACAATTCAACTCACACCTGTAATCCCACCACTTTGCAAGGCCGAGGCAGGCAGATCACTTGAGCTCAGGAGTTCAAGACCAGGCTGACCAACATGCTGAAATCCCGTCCCTACTAAATATACAAAAATTATCACGGTGTGGTGGTGCACACCTGTAATTACAGCTACTCAGGAGACTGAGGCAGGAGAATAGCTTGAACACAGGAGGCAGAGGTTGCAGTGAGCTGAGATTGTGCCACTGCACTCCAGCCTGGGTGACAGAGTGAGACTCCATCTCAAAAAATAAATAAATAAATAAAAATACTCTGTTACTTTTCTAAATGCCAGAAAAGGTAAAATCTTTTTTTCTTTCTAAATAATAGGTTTTCAACTTAAGAAATACAGAAACTACAGTTCCCATTAAACTTTAATATGAGCTTTTCTAATATAATAGATGAATACCCTTCAAAATATGGCAAGTGCCAATTGTTTAGATAATAGAGTAGTTCTAATTAAAGGAAAGTATTTTACATCTATAAGTATGTAAATGAATCGTGCATATTGTATTGAGAATCGTCTAAGTGCACATTATACTAGGTTGAGCTGTAAAATTACCATTTTAAAATATTAATGTATTTTAATAAATTCTTAAAATTTCCACATCTAGTTGTAAAAAACCAGTCATTCGGCTCTAACCAGCCTTATATTTTAAGTAGTGAACTAAGATATAAAGTGAAATTTCATTGCTATTTCTTACAAAGTGGTCATTTCAGCTTATTTTTATGAATAAACATTTATTTTGATGCAAAAACTGAGTAAATGAAATCTCCATTTAGCCATTTTAATTTTTATAGAAAATTGCTTTTCAGTTTCCAAAATATTTTACTGCTACCCACAAAATTCCAAAGTTAACCTTTTCTGGGATTATTTTTATTTGCATTTTATACCTAGCTTGCTTTTGAGAATGTTAATGAAAAATAAATTCAAATGTGAAATTAGGATAAAAACACAACATAATCTATAGGTAAAATATGTACAATGATGTATTTACTTTTGAATGATGGAAGTTAGATTAACTAAAATGTCCGCCACTTAACTTGTAATTTTAGAGTTCTTACATATTAATCCTTCTTTCTCTGAGTTATAAATCAACATATATTTTAAATTTTTATGAGAACTTTCAAACACATCCTAAAAGTTATAATTTGTATATGTGCATCACCTATCAATCATCCAGATTGAAATTATAAAGATTTTACCATCCTAATATTTTATCTTCATCTAATTCTGTTTGCCATCCCCTCACACTGACACTAACTTTCCAGAAATTATTCCTGTCTTGCTTCGCTGTTTCAGTTTTACCTAACCCAGTGTTCCATGGAGCATTATCTCATGACATGGCCAATTTAGGAAAACAATTTAAAAAAAAGTTTTAGGCCTGGCCTGTTGGCTTAAGCCTGTAATCCAAGAACCTTGGGAGGCTGAGGTGGGCGGATCACCTGAGGTCAGGAGTTCATAGACCAGCCTGGCCAACCTGGTGAAACTCCATCTAGACCAAAAATACAAAATTTAGCTAAGTGTGGTGGCTCACACCTGTAGTCCCAGCTACTCGGGAGGCTGAGGCAGGGAGAATTGCTTGAACCCCAAAGATGGAGGTTGCAGTGAGCCGAGATCGTGCCACTGCACTCCAGCCTGGGTGACAGGAAAAAAAAAAAAGTTTTAAATTGTTTAAAATATAAACGTTGAGGTGATAAAAGTTTATTCCAAATAAGTTCAAAACCAGGGACTGGAATGGGCTGGAACCTCAGTAGATTGATCGTTGTGTTAGGACTTGGCTGATGGCTGGCTCCAGACCCATTCTGGGGAGGGTGGGTGGACGGGCACAGAAGCACCTGTGAAGGAGGCAGAGAAGCAGTTCTGTCGAGGACTCGAGGAAGTCCCTGCTTGGTCCTGGTCATGCACTATCCTGTGTCCTTGCCATCTCAGAGCCTCTCAGTAATGTCTCCTGAGAATCAAGAGAGAAAAGAAAACTCTTCCTGACTCCATCCCTTCTAACCTGGTGAGCTCTCAGCTGCAACTATCCAGGGCCATGAACTATGTCAAATCTGGTTCCCAAATAACAAAGAGAAAACTATTCTGTGTGTCATTTTTAAAAGTTTGGTGACATTACCCTAATGTTTTAAATAAGCGATTGTTTGCACCACATTTTAGAAATGAATAATTACAAGCTACTTTGTTACATAAGAGATTGGCAGCATACTACTTGACTGGCCTTGGACAATTCACTTCACTTTAATTATAACGTTTTCTTTCCCATCTGTAAAATGGGGCTGATGGTGATGTCCACCTGTCTGAGGAAGTAACACAGATCCCTGCTGGGTGCTTTGTAAATGTCAATTGACCACATTATTGTCAGCACTGAGCTTAGATGTGGGAAAGGGTTGAAAAGAAAGAGAAATCACAAAGAAATCACAAAGTGATCCACACTTCTATTTATGATCAAAAACTGAGAGAAAACGAATATGGTATAGGATTGGGAGGCCAGATCGTTCTGATAGTCTTGCCTTCATAGAGAAAAACATCTGGAAAATGAAATTTTCTCTTCTTTCAGCTTCACTGGCTGACATGCCAGTGTTCCAAATCATCAACAGAAGAAAACTTTACATGAGCGAACAGAGGAGAAGGCTGTGACCTCCAAGCCAACTTCAAAGGCATAGCTTGGTGATTGACAATTCTGAAGGAATAGGAGTGAAATAATCTGATTTAGAAAAATGTGGAGCATGATTCTGAGAACGTGTATTTTATTGCAGTATTTTGATACTTTGTTTTAAGCTGAATATTCTTTGCGGTGTTTTGACTCTGGATCCTGATGGCATTTGTTTCCATGAGTTTTAGGATCCAATTACACAAAGCTCTGTCATGACTACACTGGATAATTCTACTGGGTAAGGAAAAAAAAAAAAAAAAAGGAAAACAGGAGAAATAGAAAGAGAGAAAATGATGTAAAAGATACCAGAAAGGTAAAATTGACCCACATCAGTCTCTATATTTTCTGAAGGAAATTGAGTTAAAATTTCAAAAGATTTTTTTCTGAATGCAGATTAAGAATTTCAGAAGGTGCTAGCTTTTTAAAATAATCCCCTGTTGTCTGGGCCTTTGGCTCATATAAACCACATTCTGTTCAATGTGGAGATCCCACTCTACTGTCTCCTTCAGATCTGAGAGTTTAGCAATTTGTGATTCTTTCTATTCTGGAAGAAAAATTCCTAACAATGGATAGTACATCCCTTTTGCAAGCTAAATCTATTTTTGCATGTCACAAAAGC